GACAGCGGCGGCGCCTCCACCTGCACGGGCACACACGGCTGCTCAGCCCAACAGCCTCGCACAACACAGCATTCCTACACTCCCAGGCCTTCTTTAGAGTCTTTTATCTCGTCACAGTGAAACAACAGATCAAAGAACGACCAAGCAACAGAATTAATCTTCCAGATGCCTTACACAGTCCACAGGCATTTGAGCAAGTAGGTATTGCACTGATGTAAAGAAGTTGGAAATGGGTTTGCAAACTGAGCGGCATCTACATTTGTCCTCTTGAAAGGCTGTTAAAGCAAGTGCTCTTACCATTACCTCCAATTATCTGACTCGACCCACATCAGGTGACAAGACAAAGTTACTGACATACATTTAACCGCCAGAAAAAATGACTCTGACTATTAATTCCAAAATACTTGACTTACCACATGATCCTGGTTTGTGATATCGTACTTGAGTGCAAATGACTTTACTCTTCCTACGTAGACTGCGTTGTAAAATTTAATAAGATCTCCTCTCTCCTCTGTTTCTGACTCACTCAAATTCTCTGCTGTGGACCGTCCCAAGGAGCTGCCAGCTTTCACAGATGAGTCTAACAATAAGAGAGCTTCAGATTTCAAAACTACAGCATTGGCAAACCAGGCACTTCAGAGTTGAACTTACGATGTCCAGCTGGCAAGAACTTGTCCATAAATTGACCAGTCAATGACAGGAATTCAAGAAATGTGCTTGAGCCAGGAGCAGGGTGTGCTGCAGGTGGTTATGAACATCAGGAGGAGCTACCATTTGTTGTGAGCAGGCTTGTGGGTTATGTCTAAAAAGGCCAGTATCAACCTTTATTCCAAACTTGTAAACAGCTGTAGCAAGAAACTGTAGCACAACTGACCCTTTCTTCCATGTTTATTCTGGGGAGTGTGGGGAGTGGTACAAAGCCATTACTTGGTCTTAAAACTAAGTTTTAAGCAGTCTGACAGCTCCCAGATTTTGGCTTCTCTGAAAGTCTGTTGTGATCAGCTAGCAGAGAAAAACTTGGTGCTCAACTCAGATCTGCACCAAGGCAGTCATGACACCATTTGTTCAGGCACGTTCTGTTAAGTGGGAAAAGCTGTAGCCACACAGCAAGTGTATTTCTCTTGATGTCTGCTCTCCCCTAATTAAGCTGAAGTGCTACACAACATTCTATGTGTCCTGCATTCTGCTGTCTGCCAAGTAAAACAGAGCAGCACACAAAGTCTCTGGCAATCAGGGCACTGAGACAAACATCCAAAGCTCCAGCTGACACCCATAAGTGACTCCATGTCCTCTCACCACACAAGTACAGCTCCCGTGAACTGGCATCAAAAGACCTGGAGTTAATACTGTGTAAAGGAGACATGAGCCCATAAACTGAAGAAAGTCTGGCAGGAAAAGCCATTGAAGAACTTTGTAACCACATATATTTGTCTGACAAAACACCAGAGCCCAGTGTCACTTCAGATACTCCAAGTCATCCAGTAACTGTGGAGGTGTCAGACAGGATTTAGAGATCAGTACTTTCCATGACCCTGACAGAATCCTCAACAGGCCTTTAAAAATGGCTCTAATATTCATTAGGCAGATGAATCCCACCCAGAGGGAATTTGCCACAAAGAACAAACTAAATTCTACGTGTGTCCTGGCTACAGATCTGCTCATGGGCTCATACATGGGCTGATCTCTCACTTTCCTGACATGCCACTCACAACAGGCATGGCACAGTTCCATCCTTTTCTCAAATCCCACTCTGATCCATTTTCTTCTTTAACTCAGAGCAAAGAAACCATTACTTATTTAAAAGAAGCCTGAATATAAGAAATGGCAGTCCTGGAGAGTTAGCATTTTTATTTTCTGAAACAAGTTCTTTCTACTTTAGTCTTCAGAATAGATGATATTAAAAAAACCACCATAATATTCCAGGCACTGTTTATCTTCATTCTTCTTTGTTATCAGTGTTGCCATCCAAGAACTGACATACTAAAAAAACACTTCCACCCTGAGCAACCAAATTTAGGTAAATGAAGTTAAATATTCTTTCCAACTAGGAAGTGTTATTTTCCATACCTAATACACAGGAGAGCTACTTACAAGATGGTTTCTTTTTCAACAATGCATTTATTTTTCTTTAATACACTTAAAACTGTAAAACTTGTTCCACTTATTACTTGACTGTTCAGTTCTTGAAAAGCCCCAAGTATGTTACTGAAAAGAGCAAATTCCTTTGCTGCACTCACCTTCTGTCATCTCCATATCTGGGTTTGCATTTTTGTCCAATGGAACATCATCAGAAGTATTTCTCAACAAGACACTCCTATAAACCTACAAGATAGCAAGGAAAAACACTCTTGTCAAGGAAAGCAAGCAGGTCAGAGACTAGATGAGATCCAACTGAACAGGAGCAAGTATAACACTGCAGAGGATTTCACTTCTCTTATGAGCACAAAGACTTCAAAAGCCACTTCTGAGCTTTACAAAAAGTAAAGCCAGTGTTATGGACTTACATGGCTGTTTGCCTGGGGCTGATTCCTGTAACTTTTCATTATGTCCTGAAAAGTTCTTTCCTCTTTGGTTACCTGGAAAAGAAAAGGCTGTTGAAGACCAAGTGCAAAGAGTGAAGGCTGCACTGCCTAGGTCCAGTATTTAACTTTTTGAGGAGTATTACTATGGATACATAATTTAAAAATTTATCTCTAGTGATGAGAGCATGAAACAACAAAGATTTTTCTTGTTCAGGAATTCCTTGTTTCTTAGCTGCTAAAGCTTTTTGTTAGTTATGATGCTTAGGAATTACTCCTTTCCGGACTTTTCTTCCAGTGGCACTTTAAATTAAAGAAAGGAAATATTATTAAGTCAAAAATGTGTTTTGTGAATTTGGAAACTGGATCCCTAACTTTTCTAAACAGAAAGTGGGGAAATCCTGAGCAAGACATTAGGCAGGTACACACATGCAATTTCACTTGGCTTTTTTATTTCAAAATAGCTCATTTCTTAAAGCATTCTGTTTTTCAGCCATACATCTGTAATTTTAAGAGCAGACAAGCAACAGTTTTTGTAGTAGGAGCCAGGAGACAATGCATGAATGTCTCTGGCTAAGCTGTCAGGTCTCACACTGCACTGGAGACAGCATTCAAAAGCTTGGATTATAGAAAACCCCAAAACAACTGACGAATTACATGATAAAATACAGAGCACTATTAAATGGCTTTGCTGTAAGTGTTGACATCAGGTAGGCCTAACCCATGCTGCAGTTAAGAGCACAGGCAGCCACAATTTAAACATCAGTTTCCCTCCACACACTGCTACTCTTCATTTGCCCTCAAGAGAAGATAATCCAGCCTCCTGAATTTTGTGTCTGAATTAGGCTTTATGGACACTGTAACCATCAGCTCAAGTCTGAGTCAAACCAATAGTCCAGTTTCACAATCCAATTTAACACCACCTTAAATTAAAGCTGTCAAATGAAATAAGAAATTAAACACAACAGGCAACCACCTCAATTCCGCAGCCTGAATAATCAAAAGCTAAAAGGATTTTTGGGAATAGAAATCACCTTATATAAATTTGCTCCTGCAAATTTCTGCACCTGCCTAATTCTGTAATTGTAATGGAATTTTTAGTTTAGATCAACAGACTGTCAAGATGACAAATGGGACAGAAAACAAATACAGGGCAATAAGACCACACAGTGCTTTGTCTGCGCCAACCAGTGCTACTGTGAATGCACCCACGAAGAGAAGAAAAACTCTGTCAAGAATTTCCATCAATGAGCCAGTGAGCTAAGATATGCAAAACAAGGAAAAAACCATACTGAGACTTCATCCACTTCTTGGAAGGACCTTCCCCTTCCCTCCAGTAATACGACACGAATTATACAGTCAAACTGTAAATGCTGAACACACCTGATATTTTGAACATAAAATTGAACATAAAATTCCATTAATTTCTTAAAACTACATGTTACCTTTGCCATGATATAAAAAGCACAGAGGAGGAGCTGGTCCAAATGCCTGTCCTTCATAAGATCAGCACAATGAACCAAGGTGAATTCAAAACACGTCCATATCTTCCTGCGCAGGTCGTTGGACACGTCCAGCTTCAGGCACAGGTCCCGCAGGCGCACGCTGGCCAGATGGTACACCTGGGAGGAAAAGACACACAGCCAAGAGTGAAGCCAAACAAGCCCATCCTGGCCTGCAGAAATAAAAGGCATCAAAGCAGAGATATTCTATAAGGGCCACAAAGATGACTAGAGGGAAGGAACATCTCTCCCATGAACGATCTGGGAGGGTGGGAGTTTCAGAGAGTTTCCAGAGAGGCCTCAGAGCCTTTTCTGCTGCCTGAGGGGGCTCTGGGAGAGCTGGAGAGGGACTTGGAACAAGGGCCTGGAGTGCCAGTGGCTCCCACAGCCAGAGGGCAGGCTCAGATGGGACACTGGGAGGGGGTGAAGCCCTGGCACAGGGTGCCCAGAGCAGCTGCTCCTGCCCTCTCCTGGAGTGCTCAAGGCCAGACTGGATGGGTGTGGTCCAGCAGAAAGTGTCCCTGCCCATGGCAGGGGGTGGAATGATTTGATCTTTTAGATCCTTTCCAACCAAAATCATTCTGGAATTTTGGGATTCAAAGACTAAGCTGTCCACTCTCCAACTGTTGAACCTCTAACACTTGCAGAAAATCCTTCTGAAAACACTACGCCTACAGCTCCTATACCATATCCCTCACTAACTAATTAGGCACTTTCCTTAAGCTGGAAAGCAGGAAGGGGTAGTGTCATTTTCACTTGCTCTATTGAACAGGAGCAAGAAAGGAAAGTAGGAGAAAATTATCATTCTGAGTACAATGATCACTATAAATGGAAAGTCAAAATTTAACTACAAATATAAGTCAAGGTTTTAGTTCTTCTCCATAACTAAGAGGGATTATGTTGTCTATGACATGGTTAGTCAAAGACACAGCTACACCTGAAGTTCTCCCCAGCTGAGAGTAAAACTTCCAAAATGCAGCATTCCCAACTGGCAGGTGACTGATCAATTCCTAATCCTTTCTCAGAGAAACTGCCTGTCACTGGCAAAATTAAAGAACCAATAGTTCAGACAAAGGATGTGGCTTACAAGTGTTTTCAGAAATTATTTTTTGTATTAAGGTGTACCTTAAAGATTGCTCACGGTAGAACTTCTTAAGATCTATTGTATCTATACAGATACCCTCAAAGGGGAAAATCTCAGAAAATAAAACTTACCTAGCAAGAAAATAACAGCAAAGAAAAATCTTCTAATATTTTAGAGAGAGACTAATTTAGGGATATATTCTTTGTCGTCATCTAGCCCAAGTTACCCTGCTTCCTCCAAAGACCCTTCACAAAATGCACACTGAAAATGAAAGCAACTATAAGTAAGTAGTCTGAAGTTTCTCTGAAGGACACCCAGTTCTTAACTTAATCTTTAAATCCTGCAGTATTTCAAACTCATTTTTTTTAGAAACCTTAAGCTACTATGTTATTCATCACTGCTTCCTGAGCCCCCAGCCCAGGAAGATCAGCACTGCTGGGCAGATGTAAACGTGGCAAAGGAGCATCTCCAATGCTGGGTCCACAGCAGTGCAGCTTTGAATGAGTGACACACAGGAAAACCCTCTCCTGTCAGCTCTGTCTAACCCTTGCAAATGTGGGGGCAATCAAAATAGCCAAGAGAAGTAAAATCTGAAGTCAAGTATGCCTTTCATATTTATTAACAGAAGCTTCTAATTAAAATTTAAAAAAAAATCCCATCAGTAGGAAGGAGAAAACTGGACTCTGCAACACTCAACATCTTTTTCCTTCTTCTTCAAGGTATACAAGGACTGCCTGTGCCAAGCTCAAGGCACATGAGGATTGAAGGTACTGGGAGCTGTACAGGGAGGCAGGCTCCAGCATGGCCAGGAGTGTTGGGGAGGATGAAACAAGAAAGCCTTTTAAATATGACTGCCTGGCAAAAGATTTTGAGAATATAGAAACTATAAGCCAGATTGAAATGAAAGCAACCTTTGAGATACCTTAGTTGTGACCAGTTGAATGTAATCCCCCCTGGAAGAAACAATTCCCTCTGCAAGCAGGCAGGCCTAAGAGTCAGAGCAGACCCTGCAGCTTGGCAGATGGGGCCCAAAGAGTAAGATTTAGGGTTTAACATGTAAACATAGTATGGTAATGTAGTGATTCATATAAGTTGTGTAGAAATGTTATAAGATATGCATGCTGTAGTAGATTAATTAATGAGAATCTGAATATTCAGCACTGAAGATGATTTATTGTTTTGTAATGAGAACTTCACTCTCTTATCTCTCTTCTT